TTTTTTTTTCGATCTCTTTGACTGTATTTTAGTGTTACATTGTTCTCGCACAACCCAAACAACAAAACTATGTAACTGGAGAATTGTGAACTTGATTGAAAAAGAGTAACCTATGGAGTTTCTTGCTCGTTCTTCTCCATAGGAATCTACACCTTGAAATGAGCAAATAGCTTCACTTGTTAATTTTCTTTATTGACGTTCAAAAGTGCCTCTATGGCCTAATTGAAATAAATGATTTTGACTTTGATTTTGACTTTAAGTGAATAGACAATAGATTATACTGTAATTATATATTTGCGCCGATCAGTACCGAACCGTATACATTTGTCTACTCATACGGAGCTGTTTCTTTATGTGAGCACCTTTAGGTTCTATTCCCCGTTTGGGAATATAATTATATGTTGAATTTTTATTTTTCAGAACTATTAATTAAGAGTATGAAGTTCGGAATTGTGCCTGGTGTATGATAGTATGGTTATAGACTTAGCCTCTATTGCATGGAACTCATAACTTAAGTGGTGAAAAGTGGAAGTTACATAGTACATACATATATTATCTGCACCTATGCTGACCCCTTCGGACATTAAAAGATGATGTATTTATAATAATAATTTATAGCAGAGACACATATTTTTAATTTGAAAAGGTATCAAATCGGGTTCATACTGCGCACTATTCTTTTGTTTTATAATTACAACAAGCCTGCTATAAATATGTGAGTGGGGTTAACAAATAAAGCTTAGTGGCTGGTTAACGGCAAAAGCTCTTTGTTCTTAAACACACGCAATACCTGGCTTACGGCCGCTACCCCGTACCGACATACACGTATAAATTATGCCGTCCCCGCCTAACTCATGCCTCATATTGCCTATTCGTGTTGCGATATATTTTCACGACAAGTCGCTGTAATCAGTCGCAAGACGCAACATTTTTGTTTGTCGTGTATCACATTAGGTTATAATATTACAAGAATGTATCACTTAGGTAGCTTATAGTTAGCTTATACCACTTAGGTAGCTTATAGTTATTATACAACACCATATCAGTTATGTTGCAATCATGAAAATGTGAGAGATATCAAATAAATTGGTAGAAAATATATACACTATTCTTGTAATTACTTTTATCCCACAAAAAATATATCGTTTGCTGTACCTATTAATAAAGATCATTGTTAAAAGCAAATAAGTAGTTATTATGTAATTTGTTTTTGTAATCGTATTGAATATGCAGTTCTTTTCACTCGACTGATCGCACGGATATAGTGTGCTTTATGTTGGTTGCCTTACGAACGGCGCGCGGTAAACTACCGTTTTCATGACCACCGCTCTAGGTCACAGATTTAAAAATAGTATCTTATTTATTTGAATAATAAATATGGTTGCATGTAGTTAACTTAATTATAAGGCATTTAAGAAACTTCATATTGGTTTAATAAATAAATAATAAACACAGCTATTGGAGAGGTAAGAACAAATGTACAATTTGAAAGTCTAGAACAATTCGAAAATGCGTTGCGTAGGTAACATTTTATTATGCACATTAATAAGTACGTATACGCATAATTATAATCAAGTCAATACTTGTATTAAAAATATGGAAATCATTTTATTAGTTATTGCGATTACATAAACAAATGTGTATTAAAATAAATTTGACACTCATTGTCAACCTGATAAACGATTTTCTAATTCATGACTCCTAGAATATGTAACGATATTTTAAAAATATTGTAAGCCTCGACCGAGATGGGTAAAAATTATTATTTTTTCATCGGTACAAACATTGTAGTGAAATTATTATTACAAGCTAGGTGGCGTGCAAGGTCTTCAACCTTTTAAGTAAAGTAGTCGAGTAATGTTATTATTACTCAGGCAGCACACACTACAGTTTCTACTATTTTTCTTAAAATATAAAAAGTAGGCGACGAGTTATTCAGACTGTGCCATTACCCTTGATTAATGACGCACTTAAGTAGGTAAGTATATATTTTTTAATTATTTTATTCAATAAATTGACCTTATCGACATTACCCTAGAAAATGTTTATTAAAAATAAACTAGTCCGTCCAGCCAGATCATAACTAATTTATAAAAATTGATGTATGCTACTTTCCCAACTGGATGTCCTCAGAGACTGGATGAACATTGCGAAGGATAGAGATAGATGGAATTCATTGGGGGAGGCTTTTACCCTAAGGGGGTCCGCAATAGAAGAAGATGCATGAATAGAAATATAAATAATTATATAATTGATTTAATAGAAGAAATCGGTTGAGTAATGTGAATTTGATTAAATGAATTGCAAAATAAAATAAAATTACCTCTAGATTTGATTAAATTTAATTAATTGATTTGATTATATAATTGATTTAATAGTAAAAATAAATAAATTAAGTTATGTAAATTTAATTACGAATTGTGAAATTAAATAAAGCTTTATTATTATATATTATTATTATTAGGTATACTTTCCCAACTTAAGGGGTTCCCGAAAGGGAAGGCAGAGGTGCACATTACGGCACTTAATGCCACTGTACATTGCAACACCCACTTTTTACTATTTATGTTATGAGTCCCATGTAGGTAGGGGGTGAGCCTATTGCTATATACCGGGCACAATTCCAGACTCCGTGTTACTACTGACGATTTCTTTTAAACCCAGTAATACTTTTCCCGACCCGGGAATCAAACCCTAGACCTCGTACCCAGCAGTCGCACTTGCGACCACTTGGCCAACGTGTCAGTCCTAAAAAGTAATCTACAAAACTCATTTAGGACGTTTGCTACAAAATTGTTAGGTTTAAAAATATAGTTACCCAGTAATATACAAATACCACACAATACGCATGAAACATACATATATGTTTATTTAAGTCATTTAATACGAACAATTTAAATATAATCCAAAAATATATTCATTATTACACAACAGTATAAAAGAACTCGTTAACAAGGTTTAAAAATAGGTAATTATAAAAGGTATTGTATAACATTATAAAACAATCGTACATCGATATTTTTGGGTTTTAATCAAAACAATGAACAGTGGTAAATACTACCGGATTCAGAATCTAATAGCGTTTCGCAACATTCATGATCAGTCAGTTCAAACATCAATCATGGTATAGTATGAATCAATATTCAAATATTTGGTACCTAGTTGCAAGACGCTCAAGTAATGTCCACACTAAGTACGTGCGCAAGGGCAGGGTCCCGCCTCCGCGACGACCAGGTCTCCGCTCAGTGCAATTGCTTCTATCTCCACTGCCGCGTCCAGTGGAAGCTTACCCACTTGGAATGTAGCGCGTGCCGGGTAATCTTTTGGAAAAACTGAAACATAAAAACGTTAACTTTTAAATAGATTGTTAAGCGAAAATAACGTTTCACGGAAACCTAAAAAAAGAAGCAAGCTATCAAAATCATCTAGTGGAAAAGGGGCAGACTTAAAAATGAATTTTTCTTTTTTAATTGAATAAAAATGCTAGATACTTTTAAAAATCTTACAGATAAAATATAAGCATACTTATTTGTAATATTTGTGGGTTCATTAATGAAATAATCTGCTCGTTTTAAAGTGTGACCAAGTAGCTTAACCATTAACACTTTTATTAGTTTGCATTTTGGGTCACATTATTTAACTGATCAAATCATGTGACAACATAATCAATATACCTACATTTAAACCGGACCCGAGAAACTAAAAGGACCTATTGATACCATTATTACAATTTAGTTCATATTTTTAAACTCGTTCATTTCGTTTTAAAGACATCATTTAGATTTCTATCAGCAAAACACACAAAAGCGTGCACAAAATTATCTAAACATTTTCGGTGCTATCAGTATACACGCACGTAAAGTCCGCAAGTTCAAGGCTTAAAATACTGTCTATGTCTACCAAAAGCGTATATTATTTATTCGGTAAATCATAATGTACTTGTAATCATAGTACACTTGAGGGCAAAGAAACGGCGCCACTACCTAACATTTTTCCATATTATTGAACCCATTTTTGGAAAAAAATGCTCTTATTTTAAAGGTAACTAAATTGCCTTTTATACAAAAGAAATACGTTACCAATTAATAAAATACTTGTATCAGAAAATATTTATCAAGAAATGCTCCAATATCTTCTTTGCTCCAAAGTGTAGTTATCTCGTCATACAAATGATACGAGATGGGCATAGCACCATCTTATGAGAAAGGTTGACTCAAGATGTCCGTACCTAAGATAAGACATTCATACATTCAGATAAATAAAATTATAGGGTGTGATTGTACCTAATATAACCGCTTCTTACTACATGCATATTTTAAAATATTTTTTTAATTTTTTGTCTGTCTGTCTGTTTGTAGGTACTGGCTAATCTCTAGAACAATTTTGCAAGACTTTTATTGGCAGGTAGCTGACGTATATTAAGGAGTAACATAGGCTAATTTTATTTTGGAAAATTGAAACAAAAAAAGTCATGTTCTACGCGAATCATGTAATAGTAGATTTATTTGCTACATGCAAAAGTAGCTACATGAAACAAACCTTTCGTAGAATAAAATTACTACTACTTATAATGTTTTACTTTTTGTTGAAACTCTGGTTGTACGGTTGGCGCAGTGGTTGGGCAATTGGCTGCTGTGCAACGTGTCGCGGGAACGATTTCCACACGGAACTATTCTTTGTGTGATCCACTAATAGTTGTTCTAGATGCGAATATTAATTATAATATCCTTAGTGTATGGGTGAAATTGTGTGTTTATAAAGGCACACACGACATAGAAAAAATTCCTTGTTTGGGAGCAATGTTTTAAAAGATCTATTCCAAAAA